GGACTCCCGGCCTTCCCGGGGCGCAGCCACCGGCTTCCTTTGAAAAGATACGCTCGTCATTGGCACCCAGAGCCTTGTTTCCAGAAAGCACGGGAGGGTTGCTTACACCCGCGCTGCTTCCGATCAGCCCTTCCTCCTTCCTGATTCTAAGGACCTGAAGGTGGTCCCTTCCTTCTCTTTCTCTCTCTCTCTGTGTCTCAGATGGCGATTTTGCTGCCAGCTGTCAGGAAAACACTTCCCTCCACAGCCCACCTCAGCCCAGGGATGTTTGTAGAACTCTTTGAGTTGCAGCCACCCCCTCCCCCAGTCTCAAGATGTGTTCCTTTTAAGTTGACTCGGAAGTGTCCCTGTCCTGTCTGCAGGGAGTTGAGTGCCTCTGAGAGTTCGGAGCACGTTTGTAGGGCTGGCTCACGGCCACGGCACCTGCTTCTCCCGGGAGGGGCCGCGGGCACACGGGCCTGGACCGAGCCCCGACTGTCAGTGCCCCGCACTAAGGGTTCTTTTGGTTTCCCTTCTTTTACTAATGTCTTAACTCCTTTTTCTTCCTAAGTTCCTTATTTGCATATCAAATTCTGTAAATGTTTTGTAAACATATTACCTCACTCTTGGTAATACAATACTGATAGTCTTTAAAAGATTTTTTTACTGTTCTCGATAATAAACGTGAACCATTTAAAGAAAAGGATGTCTCTTTCTTACTGTGAAATGCAGAGCGGCTGTCTCCCTCGAAGAGGCTGACATTCTTAGGAGACTTCAGGGGGCCAAGGCCTATCTGGAGCCAGCGTGCTGGTATTCTAGAAGTTCCCGAGCAGTGCGCAGCTGGTGCAGGAGCCAGATCGCGGCTGTGAGCGGCTGGTGCACAGAGGCGACCCGGGGCTGGCGGCTGCCTCGCTCCCGTCAGAGGACCTGCCGTAGGTTTCTTGGACTCCGTGAAGGCAAACCCGGCCCGGGGGCAGGGTGTCCGATGCGCCCTTTCTTCAGTAATAAAACGGATCCTTTAATCCCGAGGCTTCAGAAGGAAGAAGATGGGCGGGTGTGGACCTTCAGAAACCTGGGCCCCCTTTCCCCCGCGGCTGGTTGCCGGCTGGTGCAGGGTGGCAGGGCCCAGGAGGGCCGAGTGGGCGCCGGACTGC